CCAGTGTCAAAGGTGTGGCTGGAAGCAGACCTTTGACACTGGCAGCCAGGACAAGGAGTGGGGTAGGAGTTCCCTTATACCACTCAAGGTTCTTTTCCCCACTCCCCTGAGGATGAGGATCCTTCAAGGCTCTGATTTGCTAGATTCGTGGTCACAGTACACTGGGAGAGTCGTACAAAGAAATCAAAGTGCAGCCCAGGATTGGGGCCTAATTATACATGACTGAGTAACAGTGAAAATTTAGCATCTTATAGAGGCCACCTAAATTGATGTTAAATTACTATTATAGTTAACTGCCTTTTATTAGAGAGACAGGGTGGGTGGGGTAATATCTTTTATTGGACCAACTTCTATTGGTGAGAAAGACAAGCTTTCAAGCTTACACAGAGTGCTTCTTCAGGTCTGAGAAACATACTCAGAGTATATTACATTTGAGATACTGTGTTCTGCATGTGTGTGCAGGTAGTTTAGCTTTGCAATTACTGTAACTGCTTCATCCCATGAGTTGCACCTAAGGAAAGCTATGCTGTGCATCTCTGCACAGGTAAATTAACTTCATCTTTAATTGCTCCATTCCCTGTTTTGCAACTAAAGAAGGCTGTGCTGGTGGCTCAAAAGAAAACGTAAAGTGTGCAGGACCTGACTGAATTATTAACATAGATTCCTCAGAGAGAAGAACACTTGTGTAAAAAAGTCTATTTCAGTAAAGTTCTTCAGAATAATGGACAATGAAAATAATATAAACAGTCATGAATGAAATAAAGGTATGTGTGTATCAACTGCTGCAGAATAAATATTATGGCATTATAATGCATTATTTAACATGTAGCATGTGATCCTATAATTAGAGCAGTATCACAAGTCATATACTCAAGGGACAGCATTGAAGTTATTCATGCAAACTTAATTCAACAATTTCCTAGCTGCTGTGGGGGCTAACTGTGTAACAAGAAAATTCTCAGCATTTTAATAGAGTTTTAAATATATACAGCAGAGGGCAGCAGTGTTATTGAATTGACCATAGAGTTTGTGCCTTTGTTACTAGGAAAGAGACAAAGAAAACTGAGAATTTAAAGGGGGATCAAGGAGAACTGGAGAAACTGGTTGACTGTCCATGAATGCTGTTCCTATCTGGATTCATAAAGCCAAACCTTTATATGTCTCTAGCAGAACTGAGGGAGATACTGAATAGCAAATTGCTAAAATACAAATTTGCAGTTGAGTCTTTATGTGAACCTTGTTAAAAATATCACCACAATATTTTGTAATGCTTTAAATGATTTTTTCACATTTTTATAGTGCCATATATTTTTCAGTATCTTATTAAGGTGAAATTGAGCCTGACCTCCAGGAAAACGTCCACACTGCTTAAGTCCTGAGGTGAAGGAGCCACCAGCAAAACAGGGAGGACCATTTGTAACCCATGTGCACTGCAGGGGTAATCTTTGTGCTAGCACATAGCCTGGTGCAAAGGCAGCAGGCCAGGGATGAGGACAGACCAGAGGAGATTGCAGATAACCGTGGCTGTTACACAACACACAAGTGTGTTGGCATGACTATTGCTATTCCCTCCTCCCCCTTAGTGGCCACAGGGGCTTTTCTGTGGCATGAGACCCCAGTTTGGGGAGACCTGATCTGACCTTCCCAACCCTCCCATCCCTGTACTTCAGCAGCACAATGCTTGATTAATAGCCTTATGCTGGTGAAATGAATTTCACCTCATGTACTCGAAAGAGAAAAAATATTGAGTTATATAAACAAGTCCAAAAATACAAACAGTAGCTACAATAGCTAAGATCCCTTCGCACCTGAAATAAGATGCTTGTTATATAGATCTTTAACGCTTGCATGCTAAAAAAACCCAGAATAGGATCTAGAGAGATTCACAGAGAGAGAGAGAGACAAAATGAACAAATACCCCTGATATGTGTTAAAACAACTGCACATCTTTCCTCCGCTTTATCTTCTCATTATGGACAGTTTGCAAAAAGTATCTGGCTTTGAAAAAATATATTTAAAGTACCCAATTAGTTGGCCAAACTATATAGGTTGTGATGCAATTGTGCACGCATTTGAAGGGTGCAGAGCAATTGCTGAAGGTACTTTCAGAGAGTGTGGTCCTGGTGCTTGGGTGTGGATGATATATGTTCAGCACAGGACTCAAGGGAGAAAGGTAAACATGGCTGCAAGCCCGGGCACTGCCTTGAGCAGGTTTGCATTCAATGAAAATTTGAGCAGTTCTTGGCAGCTCCACATGTGAGGCTTCTTATGAATCAGTTGCCAATTCCTTAGTTTCTGAGCAGTGGCTATCCTTCCATATTCACCTGAAACAGATGATGGGAGAGCCCCTAAGCATGCACACAGATCCTGTTTATGGGACGATAGAAGAGGCAGCTGGAGGAGGTCTTGCCTCTCGTATGGGTGAAAAGGAGTACATGGAGAGGGTTTTTGGTGAGGGAGGGAAAAGTGTTCTTGGCGCAACTGACTAGGGGAGGATTTGGTAGTGGAATTCGTGGGAAATGCCTTTTGTAGCTTGAAGGTCTTGTCTAGGGCAGCTGGGTGCATGATTTAAGATCCCTATGGAAGTTGGGTGTGTGGGAATTAGTGGAAGAGTGTATGAAAGTGGGGATGGATGTTGGCAGCGCCAGTATTCTCTCCCAGCCTTGTCTTGTTCTTGCTGCTCCCTCTTGTATTGCTGTCACTGCTTCCCTGCTTTTGCAAGCTGCCCAAGACTGAGGAGAGAGCCGAGTAGCAAAAACAGTTACAAAAAGGGCACTTGGCAGCCTGCAGACCAGCCGCTTCAAAGTAGGCCCTTGATGTTGACGGTTTGAGGAGTAACCACAGACTCTCCCTACAGCTTTTGTGGATGCATGAGGGAGCTCCTGACCGCATGTCATGCCAGATGCACAATGACCCTTGAGAGCTCTGATGTTAAATATAGTGGGCCAAGTTCTCTTCTCAGCTACATTGAAGTCTATGGAATTGCACCAAAGCAATTGGGGGGCGGGGGAATGGTTCTGTGTTTCTTTGTTTCATTGATTGCTGATGTGATTCATTATTGAAGCCAAGATGTTTTGGGATAAGACAATAAAAAAAATTCACAATACTAAAAACACAAACATCAAAAATTTAATAAAATCTTGCCCAGTGTTTCAAAAAATATAATCATAGCATGCAATTCATTAGCAAAATCTATCCAACAATATCAATTCATCTTATAAACAATAATGGTCTGATTCTGGTGTCATACCAGTTTAACACTAGTGTAATCTATTGATTTCAGCAGAGTCACTCCTGTTTTTACAACAATGTAGGAAAAATCAGAATCCAGTCCTGATTAATTAAAACTTTATCACTTCTCTCTGAGGTTGTTAATATAGACCTTTGTTTTAAAGTTGAAGAAATTAAGACATGGAGAGCGAATGGGACATAAAGAAAGAGAAACAAGTGACTTATGCAAGGTTGCAAAAAAGTTGGTGTCAGTTTAATCAATAGATACTACAGTGATTGGTGTGTATAAATAGCAAAAACAGACTAGATAAAGCAGATAGATACAGCCCAGATCTCCTGATTCCCAGTCCTGTATTTTAGATGTTAGACTATGATAGTCAAGTTTTAAGAGTGCAAAAGAAAGCCCTTGGTAATTCTGAGATATTGTTGCACATTACTACCAAGCATGCATAATTAAATTCATAAATATATATTGTCAGAACATATGATTATAAAAATTGTCTTTCTTTAAATGGACTGTTCTGATGTACAACATATTTTTTTAACTAAGATGGCTTTTTACCACAAAATGAAACAATTTGAGGTTTAAAGTGAAAAACCTTTAGCTGATAGTTTTTTGTTCTGCTGAATACATGTATTATGCATCAGGGTGCTCAGGGTTATAAATGTGCTTTGAGCTTGCTGTAATTTGTAAGACTTCACTTGTGGCTGATTTATAGGAAATTTCATTAATCTCTACAGTGGAGGGACCTTGCAGATAGCAGCAGATTGAAAATGAACCCAGGGCTGGGGGCTTTAAGAACTACCACAAATGAATCAGCATTGAAAAACTTTGAATGGTAATGATCATTTGCAGAATGTAAAGGTCTTTCCCTACCCCCACCCTCCCCCCGCTAAGAGCTGAAGGAAAATTTTTGGAGGTAACAGTGAAATTACCAACCCTGCAGCTAGCAGGATATGTTTTTTTTTAATTTAAACAGCTATTCTTTATTTCTGTGTTCAGCACACATTTACTAATGAGTGTTTCTCTGCTGTTGCTGCTGCTGCTAAACCTGAGAATAGAGGAGGAAATATCATGAAATTGAATGAGTCTGTTTAATGGTGGGGGAGAGCTGATGGTCAACAGTTCTCATAAAGTTTTTTTTTTATTCTCTCCCCTGAAATAAGCAAAATGTTTTACTAGCATTTTTGTGACCTTCTACATCCAGTAGTAAAAACTTCACTTGCAATAAGACCCCGGTCTTGTTGTCACATTTGCAGTGGTGTAAGGGTTCACATATGCAGTTCTGATTGTAAAACAGGGAATTGGGACTTTCGCTTGCACCTGCCAGTGTATCTTTTTAACAGTTCTTTTATTTAGAATGTGCCTAACAAGTTTAAAACCATGCATAATTTGGGGGTTCCTATCCTAACCATTATTACCTGTACTGGCTTTTCAGGTTCTTGTCACAGGAACTCTGGGTTTCCCTTCTGTATCTTAAGGATAAGTCTCTCTGCTAAGCACTGTTGTGCTGGTACTGGCTATCTGTCATCCAGTTATGCACATTATAAACTAAAATGAAGTATGGACTGAGAGTCTAGTTTCTGGAATGGCCCAAGCTCCATTGCAAGTTGGAGGCTGCAGAGTTGCAAACATTAAAATCTGTGCCTAATAGAATAGGTAGAGGTCGACTGAAAAGTGTGGAGAAAAATTAATCTATAATACTGTAACTTTTAATATTTAGAGTTAATTTAATGTTATTTTCCCCCTCTTCCTTTCTTTCTTTCAGACGATTCAAACTCCAGAAGGACCAACACCAAATAAATTATGAATGTTGAACAAGATGACCTTACATCCACAGCAGATAATGATAGGTCCTAGGTTTAACAGGGCCCTATTTGACCCCCTGCTTGTGGTGCTACTGGCTCTTCAACTTCTTGTGGTGGCTGGTCTAGTCAGGGCTCAAACTTGCCCTTCTGTCTGCTCCTGCAGCAACCAGTTCAGCAAAGTGATTTGTGTGCGGAAGAATCTGAGAGAGGTTCCAGACGGCATCTCCACCAACACACGGTTATTGAATCTCCATGAAAACCAGATCCAAATAATTAAGGTGAATAGCTTCAAACATTTGAGACACCTGGAAATCTTGCAGCTGAGTAGAAATCACATTAGAACCATTGAAATAGGGGCCTTCAATGGTCTGGCCAATCTCAACACTCTGGAACTTTTTGACAATCGTCTTACCACCATCCCTAATGGGGCTTTTGTATACCTGTCAAAATTGAAGGAGCTTTGGTTGAGAAACAATCCTATTGAAAGCATCCCTTCTTATGCTTTTAACAGAATCCCTTCCCTACGTAGGTTGGATTTGGGGGAACTAAAAAGGCTTTCATACATCTCAGAAGGTGCCTTTGAAGGTCTATCCAATTTGAGGTATTTGAACCTTGCTATGTGCAACCTTCGAGAGATCCCTAACCTCACACCACTCATAAAACTGGATGAGTTAGATCTTTCTGGGAACCATCTGACAGCCATCAGGCCAGGGTCCTTCCAAGGGTTAATGCATCTTCAAAAATTGTGGATGATACAGTCCCAGATTCAAGTGATTGAAAGGAATGCCTTTGATAACCTTCAGTCACTGGTGGAAATCAACCTGGCACACAACAACCTAACACTACTGCCTCACGATCTCTTCACACCACTCCACCTAGAAAGGATCCACCTGCACCACAATCCTTGGAATTGCAACTGTGACATTCTTTGGCTCAGCTGGTGGATTAAGGACAAAGCACCCTCCAATACTGCATGCTGTGCTCGCTGCAACACACCTCCCAATTTGAAAGGAAGGTACATCGGTGAGCTGGACCTGAATTATTTCACGTGTTATGCTCCGGTGATAGTGGAGCCACCAGCAGACCTCAACGTCACAGAAGGCATGGCTGCAGAACTGAAATGCCGAGCATCGACCTCCCTGACCTCTGTATCTTGGATTACTCCAAATGGATCGGTTATGACGCATGGGGCATACAGAGTTCGGATTGCTGTGCTCAGTGATGGCACATTAAATTTTACAAAGGTGACCGTGCAAGACACGGGCTTGTATACCTGCATGGTGAGTAACTCTGTTGGGAATACTACAGCTTCTGCCACACTGAACGTCACTGCACTGGACAATGGTTACACATACTTTTCAACTGTCACGGTAGAGACTATGGAACCTTCTCAGGATGAGGCACGGACCACAGAGCAGATTGGGCCCACACCAGTTATTGACTGGGAGACCACCAATGTGACAACTTCTCTTACTCCACAGAGCACAAGGTCGACAGAGAAAACATTTACCATCCCAGTGACAGATGCAAGCAATGGGATCCCAGGAATAGATGAGGTTATGAAGACTACCAAAATCATAATTGGTTGTTTTGTGGCTATCACTCTCATGGCTGCTGTGATGCTGGTAATATTCTACAAAATGAGGAAACAGCATCACCGGCAGAACCACCATGCTCCAACACGGACTGTAGAGATCATTAACGTGGATGATGAGCTTACAGGTGATACACCCATAGAGAGTCACTTGCCCATGCCGGCGATAGAGCATGAGCACCTAAATCATTATAACTCTTATAAGTCTCCTTTCAACCACACAACAACAGTTAACACAATAAATTCAATACACAGTTCAGTGCATGAACCGTTATTGATCCGAATGAACTCAAAAGACAATGTACAAGAGACTCAGATCTAAAATATTTACAAAATTGGGGGGAGGGGAAATACAAAAAAGACGGTTTATAAAACAAATGACACAAATGACTGGGCTAAATCTACTGTTTCAAAAAAAGTGTCTTTACAAAAAAAAGAAATTTATTTATTAAAAATTCTATTGTGATCTAAAGCAGACAAAATTATGTGTATTCCTCAAAACCTCTTTTTGCTGCACTTATTTACCCCTCTTCCTCCTTTCTCCCTCCCCTACCTGCCCCAACCCCATTTGCCATATTTTTCATAGGAGATCTTGATTCCCTAAAAGAACTGGTATAGGAAATTTTATAAGAATTCTGTCATACTTTGGGAATTTTTATGGTGAACTCTAGTGGTGAGATTCAGTCGATTTTGTCCTTTTTTCTGTTTTATTTTTTCTTTTCTCATACCCTTCTTGAAATGGTTCTACAGGGAATGGAGCATTAGCAGTAGATTTGTAAGTGAGAAACAAGGAACAAGCAACAACAACAACAAAAAAGCAAAGTCTTTTTTTTATTTTTCATGTAATGACCTGTTCTGTATTTACCAAGAGGACCATTCTGTGGAAGAAGAAACAAAAATCTAAGAAATTAATTTACTTGTGAACATCTACAAAAACCACGATCTTTTAAACAATTCTAGAACCAGAATTTGTAGTTCAAACACTAAAATAAGATTATAAATAAAATATTGTTGTTTTTTTCTGTACTCGGATACAGCTTATTTTCAGTGTGGCTTTAAAAAGTTAAAAGTTTGTTAGAAATTTTACAGTATTCTGCTGTGATGGTCTAAAACACAACAGCTTAAGAGTATTACTGCTGCATTTAGATCATTACTGAAGAATAGCATTGTTTTTATTTTAGTATATATAACAGCGTACTAGATAATAAAAATACCTGACTTTTAATGCAAAATTATAATGACTCAGTGTAAGGGAACTTTCAATTATCTTCATTGTATTCAAAGAAGTATTCCGCAGTCTGCGAAAGATGTCTACACAGAGTTCAGGTACAAAAGGGCTGACTAGACAATGGTGGAAGTTTTGTTCTTATTTTAAAGAAATGTTACTTGTATATTGGGGGGTTGTCAAAATTAATAATATTGCTTTTAATCTTCAAAGCCAGACATTTTGATTGCTTTGGAAGTTCTCCTAGCTGTAAATATGAAATCTGTTTACATACCCAAGATACATCTCTGAGTCCATATCCCTCATGGTTGCAAAATGAAATCAAGGTGCTTTGAAAGAAGTGGATTAACCCGGAAGAAAAATCAGTCTAACACACCGTTTTGCCAAATTCACAGATGAGTCCAAGCTGCTGTAACCTGCACCTTCTTTTGGTCCCCTTTACATGTATGTGAGGCCCTGACTGAAAGGATAAATGCTCTAAGGTAGCATGTGTAATCCTCAAAGTTGCAAGTGAATATTACAGCAGAAAGTCTAATCTAAAGAGGAAACTGGAGAGAGGTGACACTGAATCACAATGTGCAGGAAGCATAAGTATAGTGCAGAGGGAAACCTGAAGTCCTATAATAATCTCAGAAAAATATTTGGAGACATTATCCTTCAATGTATTACATGAAAAATAATATATACTCTAAGGTAATTTTAATAGGGGATGAAGAAAGATCTGGATTAGACATACTGAAATACTGGGGAGAAGATTGTCTTATGATCACTTTGCTTTCTAGTCCTCCATTTGAAATGCACTGCTCCATTTTAGTAGCGTTCCTGTTGAATTCCATATGAACATTGTGGCATAGTCTATCCAGAAACATTGCAGATGCATTTTGTTTAAGGTAAGGAGTTCAGATATTATGGTGATGAGAGTGGTATAGGAACCTATGTAGAACTGGAGGTGCATTTTGCCTAAGGTGTCTGCTCCATCCAGTAGCATCGGAGGTGTGTTAAATTTTTGTCTCTTGTACTTTGGCCATCTGGAAGCAGCAGACTGTTGAGGAGCTTTCCATTACAAAAAATTTGTCCACTTTTTTGATTAAAACGCTGCTGAGCACTATTTTTTTTAAAGCATAAAATGTTAATTGAGCTACAGCTTGACCCTATTCATAATCAAAGATTTTAAATAAATAAATAAAAATGCATAGACAATTGTAAAATATTCCCTCCCCTCCCCCCCAGTGGATATTCTTAGCTGCTCATTATAAGGTTAAGGAAAAGACCCCCTATTGACATTATC